GGACAATGATCCCAAGCACAGCAGCAAATCTACAACAGAATGACTGCAGAATCAAAGTGTTCCGATGGCCCAGTTGAATCCAGACCTCAATGCTGTGCATAACTGCCTCACTGCAAACCTCAATGAACTGAAGCAATGCTGTGAAGAACAGTGGTCCAAACAAAATTCCTGCACAATTTTTATTAAGTATTTAATGACATGGTGTATTATGACATGTGTCCATCTGAAACTGTATTCAAATCCTTTTAAACTTGGTAGGAAGCAGGTGATTTAAAAAAAATTATGTTCTGAAATATTTAACCTTAGAAAACCTGAATGCGACTGGAGTAAAGAGTGTGATTTCTTACTTGAGAGAAAGGTTTGCAAAGATGGGAGCAAACGACTGACAATCTGAGGACCAGTTGGCGTAGAATTCAACGAGCCATGTGACACGACTGTCCCGCTGCAGCTCCTCCTAATGAGTGAAGAACACAAAGTTACACTCAAACCAACCCACCCCTCTGAGCAGGGCATGATCAGTTAGAGAGTTCGCTTTTTTTTGGTGTTTTAGTTTAGGAATTTTTAAATGTCAGACATACAATTAATATAATATCATATAACTGGATTTCAGTGTTTGATGGAAACTGCTCTAATTTCAAACAAAATGATTAATAGACTCAATCACTCCATGAACTTTCAAATAAAATAGCACTCCCAACTGATGTAACTGTATGTAATTCCCACCTCTTTTGTTTTTATCTATCATTACAAAGACCAGTGGCACTACTATACATGCAAATGGTCAGCTGATATCAGACAGGACTCACGTCGATGGTCTTGTCACTGAAGTACTTGATGTACTCTGGGCCCATGTAGAGAGGTGGCTGACAGGTCATGACAAATGCTGCAGAGAATACACAGATAAACAGACTGATGAGCTTAAAAAGGATAAAAACAATGTACATTTTACAGTTTATCCAGTGGTAGTCTCTGTTCACCTATGATACTTTGGTAAAAAAACATTTTTATTTGTGTTATTTCTTATTTAAGTTTTCTCATTTTATGTTTCCTTTCTTAAATTCTGCCATCTTGTCCTATGTTTTTATGTAATTTGATTATTTTAGGTGTACACTTTGGTCAACAGCTGTTTTTAAATGTGCTATAAAGATAAATTTGACTTTGAATGAATGCTTCTT